AACCCACCAGACCCAACAAATGAAGAGGAAATAGGCAGTCTACCTGAAAAAGAATTCAGAGTAATGATACTAAAGATGATCCAAATTCTAGGAAATAGAATGGAGAAAATACAAGAAATGTTTAACAAGGACCTAGAAGAACTAAAGAGCAAACAAACAATGATGAACAACACAGTAAATGAAATAAAAAATTCTCTAGAAGGAATCAATAGCAGAATAACTGAGGCAGAAGAACAGATAAGTGACCTGGAAGATAAAATAGTGGAAATAACTACCGCAGGGCAGAGTAAAGAAAAAAGAATGAAAAGAATTGAGGGCAGTCTCAGAGACCTCTGGGACAACATTAAATGCGCCAACATTTGAATTATAGGGGTCTCAGAAGAAGAAGAGGAAAAAAAAAGGGACTGAGAAAATATTTGAGGAAGTTGTAGTTGAAAACTTCCCTAATACTGGAAAGGATATAGTCAATCAAGTCCAGGAAGCACAGAGTGTCCCATACAGGATAAATCCAAGGAGAAACTCACCAAGACACATATTAATCAAACTATCAAAAATTAAATACAAAGAAAAAATATTAAAAGCAGCAAGGGAAAAGCAACAAGTAACATACAAGGGAATCCCCATAAGGTTAACAGCTGATCTTTCAGCAGAAGCTCTGCAAGCCAGAAGGGAGTGGCAGGACATATTTAAAGTGATTAAACAGAAAAACCTACAACCAACATTACTCTACCCAGCAAGGATCTCATTGAGATTCGACGGAGAAATTAAAACCTTTACAGACAGGCAAAAGCTAAGAGAATTCAGCACCACCAAACCAGCTTTACAACAAATGCTAAAGGAACTTCTCTAGGCAAGAAACACAAGAGAAGGAAGACACCATCAATAACAAACCCAAAACAATTAAGAAAATGGTAATAGGAACACATATATCGATAACTGCCTTAAATGTAAATGGATTAAATGCTCCAACCAAAAGACATAGACTGGCTGAATGGATACAAAAACAAGACCCGTATATATGCTGTCTACAAGAGACCCACTTCAGACCTAGGGACACATACAGACTGAAAGTGAGGGGATGGAAAAAGATACTCCATGCAAATTGAAATCAAAAGAAAGCTGGAGTAGCAATTCTCGTATCAGACAAAATAGACTTTGTGGTCTATTTACAATATTGTGTTAGTTTCAAAATAGACTTCGCTGAGCCCCAGCAATCAGAGAAGAAAAAGAAATTAAAGGAATCCAAATCGGAAAAGAAGAAGTAAAACTGTCACTGTCTGCATTTGACATACTATACATAGAGAATCCCAAAGATGCTACCAGAAAACTGCTAGAGCTAATCAATGGATTGGGTGAAGTAGCAGGGTATAAAATTAATGCACAGAAATCTCTTGCATTCCTATACGCTAATGAAAAATTCCTATACACTAGATGAAAAATCTGAAGGAGAAATTAAGGAAACACTCCCATTTACCGTTGCAACAAAAAGAATAAAATACCTAGGAATAAACCTACCTAAGGAGACAAAAGACCTGTATGCAGAAAACTATAAGACACTGATGAAAGAAATTAAAGATGATACAGACAGATGGAGAGATATACCATGTTCTTGGATTGGAAGAATCAACATTGTGAAAATGACTATACTACCCAAAGCAATCTACAGATTCAATGCAATCCCTATCAAACTACCAATGGCATTTTTCACAGAACTAGAATAAAAAATTTTACAATTTGTATGGAAACACAAAAGACCCGGAATAGCCAAAGCAATCTTGAGAAAGAGAAACGGAGCTGGAGGAGTCAGGCTCCCTGCCTTCAAACTATACTACAAAGCTACAGTAATCAAGATAGTATGGTACTGGCACAAAACAGAAATTAGATCAATGGAACAGGATAGAAAGCCCAGAGATAAACCCACACACATATGGTCACCTTATCTTTGATAAAGGAGGCAAGAATATACAATGGAGAAAATATACAATGGAGAAAATAAGTGGTGCTGGGAAAACTGGACAGCTACATGTAAAAGAATGAAATCAGAACACTCCCTAACACCATACACAAAAATAAACTCAAATGGATTAAAGACCTAAGTGTAAGGCTAGACACTATAAAACCCTTAGAGGAAAACATAGGCAGAACACTCTGTGACATACATCACAGCAAGATCCTTTTTGACCCACCTCCTAGAGAAATGGAAATAAAAACAAAAATAAACAAATGGGACCTAATGAAACCTAAAAGCTTTTGCACAGCAAAGGAAACCATAAACGAGGCGAAAAGACAATCCTCAGAATGGGAGAAAGTATTTGCAAACAAAGCAACTGACAAAGGATTAATCTCCAAAATATACAGGCAAGTCATGCAGCTTAATATCAAAAAAACAGAATCCAAAAATGGGCAGAAGACCTAAATAGACATTTCTCCAAAGAAGATATACAGATTGCCAACAAACACATGAAAGGATGCTCAACATTACTAATCATTAGAGAAATGCAAATCAAAACTACAATGAGGTATCACCTCACACCGGTCAGAATGGCCATCATCAAAAAATCTACAAACAATAGGGCTTCCCTGGTGGCGCAGTGGTTGAGAGTCCGCCTGCCGATGCAGGGGACACGGGTTCGTGCCCCGGTCTGGGAAGATCCCACATGCCGCGGAGCACCTGGGCCCGTGAGCCATGGCCGCTGAGCCTGCGCGTCCAGAGCCTGTGCTTCGCAATGGGAGAGGCCACAACAGAGAGAGGCCCACATACGGCAAAAAAAAAAAAAAAAAAAAAATCTACAAACAATAAATGCTGGAGAGGGTGTGGAGAAAAGGGAACCCTCTTGCACTGCTGGTGGGAATGTAAATTGATACAGCCACTATGGAGAACAGTATGGAGGTTCCTTAAAAACCTAAAAATAGAACTACCATATGACCCAGCAATCCCACTACTGGGCATATGCCCTGAGAAAACCATAATTCAAAAAGAGTCATGTACCACAATGTTCATTGCAGCTCTGTTTACAATAGCCAAGACATGGAAGCAACCTAAGTGTCCATCGATAGATGAATGGATAAAGAAGATGTGGCACGAATATACAATGGAATATTACTCAGCCATAAAATGAAATGGAGTTACTTGTAGTGAGGTGAATGGACCTAGAGTCTGTCATACAGAGTGAAGTAAGTCAGAAAGAGAAAAACAAATACCATATGCTAACACATATATATGGAATCTAAAAAAAAAAAAAAAGTGGTTCTGATGAACCTAGGGGCAGGACAGGAATAAAGACACAGAGGTAGAGAATGGACTTGAGGACATGGGGAAGGGGAAGGGTAAGCTGGGATTAAGTGAGAGAGTGGTGTGGACATACATACACTACCAAATGTAAAATAGATAGCTAGTGGGAAGCAGCTGCATCTCACAGGGAGATCAGCTCGGTGCTTTGTGTCCACCTAGAGGGGTGGGATAGGGGGGGTGGGAGGGAGATACAAGAGGGAGGAGTTATGGGGATGTATGTATATGTATAACTGATTTACTTTGTTATACAACAGAAACTAACACAATATTGTAAAGCAGTTATACTCCAATAAAGATGTTAAGAAAAAGATATTATATATTAGAAAAATAATAATGTTGAAAAAAGAAAGTAATAGGTGTTAGCAAGGGTGTGGAGAAATTGGAACTCTTGTACACTGTTGGTAGGAATGTAAAATGGTACAGCCACTCTGGAAAACAGTTTGGCGGTTCCTCAAAAAATTAAAAATAGTGGGAATTCCCTGATGGTCCAGTTGTTCGGACTCCGTGCTTCCACTGCAGGGGGCCCGGATTCTATCCCTGGTTGAGGAGCTAAGATCCTGCACACCGTGCAGCACGGCCAAAAGCATAAAAATAAATTTAAAAATTAAAAATAGAATTACCACGTTAAGCAGCAAGTCCAGCTTGAGGTATATACTCAAAAGAATTGAAAGTGGGTCTTAAAGAGGTATTTATACACCTATGTTCATAGCAGCATTACTCACAGTAGCTAAAACGTGGAAGCAACCAGTGTCCATCAGTGGATGAATGGATAGGCAAAATGTGGTCTATACAAACACTGGAATATCATTCAGCCTTAAAAAGGAAGGAATTTCTGCAACATACTACAACATGGGTGAACCCTGACTATGCTAAGTGGAATAAGCCAGTCATAAAAAGGCAGTTTAAACATGGGTACTAATGAAGGCACATGGTTAAACTTAAAAAACATTATTGAGGGTTTTTAAAAAATAAGCATGGTCTAAAATGATCTATTCATTGTTCATCTTAAATATTTAATCTTGCTGGTCCATGTTCTGTAATTTTCTATACATTTGAAATGTTTTATAGTTAACTTTTAAAAGAGAAATAGGTAGTTATGCCCTCTGGCTATAGATTGTTCCGTGGTGCCATTGCTGTGGAAGGCAGGTAGATCAGGTCTATAGTCTTAGAAAGGTAAGTCATTTTGGTGGGGAAGAGATGCTCATGCTGGGAACTGCAAATGTGCCTCTAGGAGACTAAACAGCTGCCAGAGCATTGTTGGGTCCATGCTCTTGATTCAGAGACGAAACATCCTAAAAATGGGGGCATATTACTACCTGCTCTGTGTTCCTGCCTGTGAACCATGATGCCTCTGACATTTCATCCTCTATCACGGGCAGTCAGAAAACTGGGAGTGCCTTGGCATTGTCTCAGGTTTGAAAGAAGTTTGCTTTCCAGCTTTAGACTGTGATGTTGTCCAGCTCTCAGAATTCAGTTCTTGTGGTTGATTGCTATTAGCTGTTGTATACTGTACAAATAAACTTAATAGCATCAAGTCTATCCCCTTCTCCAGGGAAACGTTTAAATTCCCCTGCCAAGAGTAGTGTTGACAGAGAGGTATCTATGTGGAAATGTAGTATCACTGAATTACGATGGAAACC